ATTCGAATTTTACTATGATGCAGATCATCCAAATTTTACTATGTTTTACAACCTCCTATAGATCGGCGGGAAATGTCCTGTGACTGTTAGTATTAGTATTAGTATTAGTATATTTTACAATTTTTTCCGGAATAATTCCGTATCTTTTATAACAATCATTTCATAGCAATAAAAATTATAATTCATACGGAATTTCCGTATGCAAATTTTTTATAGAGCTAGATTGTCTCTTCTTCGCCTATATCTTCTCTTTTTTCTGAAATTTTCCCATATAAAAGTTTATAATTCACTTCTTGAATAAAATATAATACTTCTTGCCTGTGCACTACTTCTACCAGCTCTTCCACTTTCTTGAATATATTGACCAAGGCTTAAGGGAAAGTTAAAGTTTATTATAAGGATTACATCTGGTATGTTAATTCCCATACCGAATGCATTTGTTGCTATAATTATTTTTGTCACTTTATTTTTCCATTTAGATAATGATTGATTTTTTTCTTCTCCTGCTAAACCTCCATGAAATAGACCCACTTCATAATTAATTTTATTAGCAACATATGTTTTGAGTTCTTCACATATTCTAGGTGATTCACAATATATTATACTTCTTTCATTGATATTTTTATTAATTTGTTCTAGTGTTCCACGTCGCAACCCAAAAAAGGAAACAAAATGGTTGTAAAGGCGGTTGAAATCACACGAGTTGCTAGAGCAGTAGATTTGCAAATTGATTTTTTTCCCCATTTACTTTACAAATTGTGCAAAACATTCTCTTCATTGCTGCATCATATTTTAACCATTTATATATATATGTGAACCATTCGTGCTGAAACTTCTTCCTGATTTTTAAAATGCACTTGTTTATTTGACATTTTAATATGGTTTACATCTAATTCACAATTTTTTCTTTTTTTATTTGATTTTTTTGAAGTATCATCATCTGAACCTTGAATTGTCAAATCACCTGACCTTCTATAACTGATTCATCATCTATAAATGCTTCATCCCAAATTTCAGTAGTCAAATTATCTATACTATTTATTTTTTTTGAATAAGGGAAAACAAATATACATAAATTCATATTTAAAGTGTATATATTTTAAATTTAATAATTTAATAGCAGTGAAATAATAATAAGATTTAAATTGAGTCAATACTTTCTTCCTGAAAATTCAAAAGATACAAATGAAGTAATACACATATACTGTATGTATATATATTTATATAGTATAAAATTTTTTTTATGCGAATGGAAAAATCTGTACAAAAATAAAAAGGAAAAAATATCCGACAACTCTTTTTTTTTCAGAAGTTAAAGTTTTTTAAAGGAAAACCCGGATTTTTAAAGTAATATTTCCAGCCCTGGTTGGATTCTTTCTGCTGAATGAAAATTCAATCGTATTTATAAATTTTTTGAACAATATACAGCCATCTGTCTCAGGCCATTTTTAATATATCGATTAGAAATAACAATTATATACCACCTTTTGTTTTCTACATTATGTATAGAGATAATGAAATAGTTTTCAAGGATTTATAAACAAAGAATTGTCTATGTTCTCGCTTCTACATAATAATCCCCTCAGTTATATATGGGCTAGAATTTAGTCAAAGGAAGATTCTATTTAGTTGTTTTAAAAGAAACTTGGTTATATACAAAGAAGAGATTAATGAATCACAATTATTCAACCATATTTCTGAACATGCCAGATGCCATCATAACATGATTGGGATTTTTTAGGTTCTAATAATGTTAATTTACTAAAACCTATTGGACAGTTGGAAAAAGAAATGACGTGATTAAGATACCGCTAAAGACACGTTACAATTGTACCGAGCTTTCGCCATTTACAACGTTAATATATCGCCCAGATGATGATATATTAATTGACTATTTAAACGAAGATGATCAAAAAATTCGAACTAAAATGGTATGCTCTTATCATTTCAATGGTCTTGGTTGCCTGCGCGAAAAGCACGGGAGCATTAGCATTACTCAAGAGACGTTATTTAGAACTCGGGGAGAAAAAATAATGGTGATACTATGATCGTAATATACCCTTGATACATCATATCAACATGGTATAATTGCTAAATAATTGAATTACCAGTTCGTAAATGACATTGAATTGAATTTGTGCTATTTTAGAATAACAGAAAATAGAAAGGAACAGATGTAAAAATCTTCTGGTTAGCATCACAAAATTATTCTTCTTTTTTTGACACTCACTCGATTTCATATCGTATTTTGCCGGGAACAAGCAACCTTTTATAAATTAATAAACAAACTAAAAATGTTAAGATTATTGTTACCATTTATACAAATATGAGATGCAGCAATTTTGACTAGAGAATTTTTAATTTGAATTTCTAAAAAATGGATACTGTTGATGATTAATAAATAAATAATGCAACTTATTAGATGAACCATTTTGACACATTAAAATATTAGAATCAGATTTCACAGAAGAAAATGTCATTTTATTAAATGAATTAGATAACTGTACCAGTTGTAAAGATTTATTGAAAAAAATTATTTTGATTTTCTTAATAAATCAATAAATGAACTAAAAACTTGAAAGATAGTTTAAAAAAGAAAAATATGGATATGAAAAGGAAAATAATAGTCAATGAATTAGGTTATAAATTAAGAAAAATTATATTATGAAATGATTGCAAAGAAAAAATTAACTGATAAATGTGGAAATAAAGAAATATATTTTTTTATGAACATAAAAAACATACATATTATAGTGATAATGTATACCGGATTCCATAAATGAATTTTATAATATCAAACATCTAGCTAAAGGTGGTTTTCGAAAAATCCATAAAGCAATATGAACCAAAACATTTGGTGGAATGAAAAATGTTGTATTAAAAGATTATATAATTCTAGTAATAAATTTTTAAAAGAGGTAACCTTTTAATTTGGTATAGTATAACATCTATTATGATTAAATGTTAAATATTAATAACAAATATTATTTTGTAATAATTTTTTTAGTTAATTATTTATCAAAAAATTTTAAAGAAATTACTTGAGAAAATAAAATTTATTCGCTTTATTATATTGCATATGGGTAAGTTTAGTACTTTATTATTAGATACATTATTATTATTTATAAATATATCTAGTAAATTTATTATTTATTTTATTATCAACATAAATGAAATTCATATGAATAATTACATTCATCATGACTTGCACAGTGGTAATATAATCATTTGATTAGCACTATAGGAGATCTGGGATTATAATGAATGAAAAAGATAACAAAATAAAATCTTTGGAGTAATTCCATACCTACATCTGAAATATTATCAAGAAAACCATATACAAAGAATCAGACATTGTGTGAGTTCTCTAAAGGAAAGAAGCCATTTTATGACAGGCTACATAATCATTGTATTATATCAGATATTCTAAAAGAAGAGAGATCACAAATTACAGATGATACTCCTGAATTCTTTGCTGAATTGACGAAAAGACATTGAGGTTCTAATCCAAAAAATAAACCAGCAGCTAAAAAAATATGTAAATATTTTGGTCAATATTGTATTGATCCACCTGAAAAAAAAAATAAATTAGCAGAAGCTAAATGACAAGAAATTTATAAAGTCAAAAATAATTTTAAACATTATCCAGAATCAGTCTATACTAATGATGATAATGATGATTAAGTTTAATTTTGATATAGTTTTTATGCATTTAATAGATGACTATGGCGAAACAACAATGGATTAGAAGATGTAATTTATTATTTGTTGATATATATTTTCATCATTTACTATATATTATTTATTATATTTTTATATTATAACTAAATCAAAAAGACAGATTGTTTCGATTTTATACTATTTAATAGATGTAATGTATATTAAAAGTCAGTTAAAATATTATCTACTTATGAACAACTATCATTCCATTGCTAACTAACGGATGTTCAGTCAATCAACCAGCAGCTTTGTTTGTTTTTCTGTTTAGCTAAAAAAAATTTTTTTTTTAAGGTTTTGAATTTTTGTTTTTTGTTATTATTGCCATGTGTAATGAACTATCATTATAAAATTATATAAACATGTTTTATGCTAGTTTCAGATGATAAATTTACATTGTATCAATTAATTGTTTGGATTTATTTGGATGATGACGATTTATCATTTTGGTTAAAAAAAAAAACAAAATATTTTAGAAAAGAAAAATCTTACTTGGCATTTATTTCAAATTGTATGTATATATAACATTGTAATAAGTTGCCGTATTAGTTGATATTTGATATTTAATCGTTGTTATTTAGCAACAGTGACAACGATGATGGCAATTTTCTAAATTATAATAAATGGCTACCACCAACATTATTATTATTATCATTATTATTATTATTATTATTATTATTATTATTATTATTATTATTATTATTATTATTATTATCATGACCATTATTATTGTAAAAATTGAGGCTATTATTGCGATTATTGAGGCCATTATCTTGAACCATTTCCTCATCCCCATCCCTATCCTCATTAACGTTACCATTCACTTCTCTATCATCTTCATCATCACCATCGTCATCGTCATCATCATCTACATCATCATCATCTACATCACGCATTGCTAAATCTTCACTATCTTCCTCATCTACATCCTCAACATCATCATCGTCGTCGTCGTCTTCTTCCTCTTCCTCATATGTAGATTCATCATCATCTTGAACATCATCCGCTGTTTGTTCATCATACTATATGTAAATGATAAATATTGACATAGATGGATGTATAGATGGATGTATAGATTAATTGAAATTTGGAAAAAAAAAGAAAAATAAATAAACATACTGGATCATCTTCACAAGCTTTGATTCTATATTTTCCAGGAATAGGTAATCTCTTTCCTCTATCTTTTATCGCTTTTAACTTTTTATTTTATCCGATTTATTATTGTTTTTAAAAGTAAAAAATACAATATTATCGTTCATTAAGCGTACCGATAAATAAATAAATCGATAAATCAATCATAATGAATAATAAAATCTACACAAACTTGTGCTTCATATTCGTCTTCTTCTTTACCTATACTAACACATTCATTTATTATAGCATGTTTATATGCCCAGGAATTTATTATTGTACGTGGTTCAAGCGAAGGTGCCCAAAGATGTGATGAAGTCATTATTTTAAAATTTTTTTTGGATAATTATAATGTATATAAAGAGAAAGAGAGAGAATTATTTATGCCATACTTAATACAAAGTGAACATTTTGTAGTACAAGGAATTCCAGGGTTCAAATGAGGCAAAGTATATACTAATTTATTATTATTATTATTATTTTATTATTTTCTAAATCCAAATAATGCGTTCAAGAACATCTTTGTTTAAACGTTAGCTTCAAGAATATGGACAAAAAAATATAATTAAATAATATCAAAATCATAGCCATATATAATCCTTTACAAAACGTGAAATCAAAAAAACTAATTTAAGAAATAAAACCGCAATATCGTCTTTAAATTATCATCTTTTCAATAACCCCACTATAAATAAATAAATATAAAAAAAAATTTAAGAAAAATGCTTACCTTCACCACTGAATTTATTTATGGCTTATTAATTGGTCTTTTCCTTGGTGTTTTTCCTCATTATAAAAATTACTCTTTAATATAAAACAAAAAAATTAATATGAAATAGAACATAGAAAAATATAGTTCAAATAAACCAGTTGATGAAAAGAAAAACATCTGAAAAAAATTGAAGGATTTCAAGCAATTATTCGATAAAACACAGGATTGAATCCAGACTTTTCATTCAGTAAAATGGTCATAAAATTCGCGAGTTACTTGGAGATGTAAAAGGTGTTGCTGCTTCTACAATAAAAACTTCTACTGATGAAACTAATCCCAAGAAAAAAGAACAATAGATGATGCAATTCAGGAATGGATTGACAAAAGAAAAGAACAAAGAAATGAAAATTGAAGATATTAATTATTTAATTGATGATAATAATAATAATAATAAATATAATGATGGTGAAAGAATGCCCATAGATTTAATATGTCACTCAGTTACAGAATTTCTCTCTTTGAAGGAAATAATAATCAATGCGTTGCATATCTCCAATTTCATGATCATAAAATCCAAAGAATTTACTTCATTTCTCCGTTATTACTTTATATTGCACTTATACTTTAATAAATAAACAACTAAATATTTATGCTATCAAGGCTTTCTCTTAGAATTATATCTTTCAAAGGATGATGAATTGTCATGAGCAGAATATTATTTTACAAAATATCATTTCCTCGTCAGAAGGTCTGAAATCATCAATGTAAATATATGTAAGATCCCAAAGACTTTCTATCCTGTCACCCACCAATTGTTCTGTGAAAAAATATTTGATATCATACAATATCGGACGAACAATTTGCGACTAATGAATAGCTCGGGTAAAAATGAGAATTGTATTTATTTAAGCTAAACCCATCCGCCTACCAAATATGGCTTAATTCAGTCACTATAAAAGACTGCGGATAATATGGATACTGCGGTCACGCGATGAGAAACTTTCGCGGAAATCGTAAGTCATAATGTAGGATAGAAAATTTTGAAAATTAACTAACTAAATTGAAGAAATTCAACTTCAGATTTGCACTCTTTAAACGCGCATATAAAGGGTAAGATTTCACGTTGGTCTCGCTCTAACTATCTTAATACCCTTCGACTTGATCTTGTAATAACAATATAATAATAATCAATTAATAAACTAATACATGCTTACAAAATGCCTGATAAAAACCCTTACATATACTATCTTGAAATTGGTATCTATGATAATTTGAGTTAGATGGTCACTAGTTCCTACTACAGTCAAACTTTGTCACAGCGTATGAAAGGGACACATAAAAAAATTTTAAAAATCAATCCGTAATGATAAGAATTTAATTATTATTATAGCCCGCTTTGACGAGGCTCTCTGTAACAAGGTTTGACTGTACCAAACCATCTATGTATCTATCTATTTATTTTTTACCTAGATTATCTTATTTTATTTTTCTTTTATTTCCTATTTTTATTTTTATCTCCCTTGTTTAACTAGCACACTGTATCTCGAGTTAGTGCATCCCAATTTAGATAATACTGTTTATTAGATTGTAACTATTTAGGTGACTTGGATAGCCAATGAACAAATCTTAAGTAGTGTTCAGGTGGCCAATATACAAATCTGAAAAATAGTATAATAGATTTAGCTGAGCTTTGGCTTTAGTTTAGTTCAGTTCGGCCTTTATAGAATCTAATTACTACTCACGCAAGGTGATTAATACATTTACTCTTTCTTAAGAATGACAGCTCTACTTGCTCCAAATTTTGCATGCGCCATGAGGGTGCCAGGATCATTGAAAGACCAAAAAACGCACTCCATGTGCTTCTTGTGGTAAACCTACTGCTCAAATATATGATTTGTGCCAGTTTTATATTGGACAGCTATGTCATGAAGTGATATAATTCCGATTGTTGCCTCCGCCTATTACTATGTGCTGACTCCTAAAAATTCGACTTGCCTCCGCCTGAAAAAAAAGCCAGATATTTTTGCACCAAAATCCTCTTGACGCGTGGATTTCAAAATTTGGGTACCAAAACTCCGGCTTGTCTCTTGAGCAAATGGTATCATATATTTTGAAGCAATAGCGCCAAAAATTTTCTGCAAATATCAAGATTCGACTCGTCTCTTGAGCAAAGGGTACCAAAATTTTTCAGTGAATTCGATTTTTTGGTTAGATTCGGGTGTCACTATTTAATGGATCCGTTTATTACAAATTTAAGAAGAGGTTCAGTTTCATAAGAAGTCACTGAGTCATGGTGGTCAGGGCCTTTATACGATATTTGAATGAATAAAGGTTTAAAGTGGTTGGTTTTAATGCATATGGTTTTTGTTTTTTTGTTGATAAGGTTTGTGGTCAGCGAAACTTATGCTTATTTCATGGCATTTCTCTTAATATTATGTCAGTTTCTTGTATTCTGTGTTGGCAGTGGTGTTAAAATTTGGGGTAGAGAAGAACGACGATAGATCATTTATATGCGAACAGATATATATATATATTGATAATTTGGACAATTTAACCATTAATAATAGTAACAAATAATAATTTTATAAATTAATTTCACATCAATTATAATTTAATAATAGTAATTGTTATTTTATCAAGTTTTGTAATCCTATCACTTAAATTTTCATCAAAATAGTTATTTATTGTTTTAATAATTTTTTATCGTAGGATTGACTCCATTTTCATGGAATTTTTTTATAATAGTTTTAACTACATAACTATTTTATAGTTCCATTAAAAGATTCATTATCCAATGGAACTTCATCAATTGACATTTGATGAACTACTTACTATCAAAGCTTCATCATAATGATCTTTATATAATAAATATACATACGTTTACATACATCTTGTGATTTCATTAAAGCAACTTCGTAATTATTTAATTTAAGATCTAAATCAATTTTAGTTGACGATTTGATTGATAATTTCTTTGAATATTGCAAACCTTAAGCTTAAGAAGGTTTTCGGTCCAATTCCCAAGACCATTATTTGATCAATTTCTGGTAGAAAAAATAAAACAATCAAATGCCATCAATTTACCACCACACATTACATCAATTAATAAATGTACCATAACCTTTAAAACCATAATGATTTTCTTATGGAATTATATAAATTGAATTCACCAAATTGTCTGTTGTTGTTAAAGCAAGATCTAAATCTAATTTACTCGCACATCCAATTATCAATGATAAATAAGTATAAACATCTGGTTTGATGTTTTCCTGTATCATATTGTTATACGCCGAATAAGCATTACCAATTCTTATAGCATTACTATACATTAATATATATATATGTTGTAAAGACTGGCAGCCTTTACTGAATTGTCCAATCTATCGAATAGATTTTCTGCAACTTGTAAACATCATCGACTGTATATTGCTCGAAAGAAGGAATATCAATCCTTTGTTTATTGTATTGTCTAAAGATGATGATGATATTAATGATTATGACGATGATAGTGATGAATATTTATTATTAATCTTGAACAAAGCTTTTAATGCCTCTAATACATTAGATTCGTTTGGTGATTTGTATTTATAAAAAAATCCATTGATTATATTTCTAAGTTGAGTCACGTTATTATCTTTTTTAATAGTTATTATTATTATTTGCAATTTTATATACCATGCTTTGTATACAATCAAATAAGTTTAATGTTGAATGCGTTGAATGGTAATATTGAAGAAAATTTTCAGTTTTAACATATCAATTGATATTAGTATTAATATTCTTTGACTCAATTCGACAAGCTTTCCACTGATTCAATAGCTTTATTGTTGCTGCTATTGGGATTGATAATGCATTCTTATTATTACTACTGCTGTTAATATTATTTAGAAAATTAAAAACAAAGCCATTTTTTCTATTTAAAAAAATATTTTGGGAAAATTCATCTTTATTACAATAAAATAAAATTATCGGATTTGTACCGCGCACATTTTTTTTGTCAAATACAATAATTTAATTTAAAATTAATTTTTTTAATGTTACCACACCACCATTATATTTCTCTATTTTAATAAACTAATGCTATTATAACAACCGTTATATATAGTTAATTTTAATTTTAGTTTTAATTTTATTGACAAGTGCCTGTAAATTATAAACAAATTATTAATTTGATCGATTGATTGACATTCAGGGAATAAATAATAAATAAATTGGTATAACTTACATTTTGGATTGTTATTTATAAAAGAAAAATCAAAATCCTTGAATGCACATGTCACGTCTCTGCATTCTATAGCTTTTTTCAAAGGATTCACCGAAAGAGTTTGATTAGCATTCGATATAACTGATGGTGGTGATGATTGAGCGATTAAATCTGTTATAGTTTTATCAATAGACGGGAGTTTTGAAACGGGGCTTCCTCCTTTTATAGTCGGATAAATTTTAACATTGAAAATTGTATAGCTCAAAAGAACAAACATAAAGCCCGCCGCAATAATCAAAGAGGTAATTACAATAGAAAAACGCCAAAATATTTTGTTCATTTTTTATTTTTAGTGTGTTTATATTTAAAAAAGAATGGTTTAGTTTTTTGTTTATATTTTTAATTATTATTAATTGCAAAATGGTGTTTAGTGATAAATTAAGGGATGGTTGATGGCTAATTTATTAGTAGCAAATGTGTGAATAGTGGCGAGAAGGAAAATAAATGATCATTATGAAAAAAGCGTGAATTAAAATATCATTTTTTTATACTCTATTGCATTTCCACGTAATAGCTAAATTTGGATAATTAAATTCAATCAATCAATTAACTAATTAATTAATTAAACTCGATATATTAAAGCTTGAATACATACATTCATTCATAAATTTCTGTACATCCATTTCGAAATGTAAAATATTGCCAATTTTAGCTAATTGATTTAATCTGGAACAAATAATTATCATTTTTTTTTAAAAAGAACAACCAATGAAATTCCTTTCATCTTCGCAATGGATTTAATTAGGATATTAATATACATTACTAACAAGACAAAGTTAACTTCTAATGATTGTAAACATTTTAAAATAAGATCTTGAAATAATTACCCGTTCATATATAATTCGGGTTTAGTTCTTACTACTGCTTCTGGGACTTCCGCTAAACACACAAAAGTTGTTGTAGTACCATTATTTAATACTGAGCCTATTAAATAGATCCAACTATAAACGCTATAAAAACTATTAACGGTGTAAATCTTTCATCAACATTGAACCTTAGTGGAAATATAATGGTCTAAATAATGCAGTGAGCAACCCTGCTAAAAATGCACTTTTTGAAAATTAATTTTTTTTGGTCAATTCTAAATCTCCATTTCATTTCATTTATAATAAAAAAAAGATAGTTTCAATTTTTACCCATCAACACAACATTGTTAATCAAGCCATCGTTGGTAATAGCTTCTACGCCACGATATAAAATTAGACTCCATGTATCCTACGAACGTTATTTAATAAAAGCATTTTTTTTTTTTTAAAAAAAAACGCAAAATAAAAATATTACGAGTTACTCGGGGAAAAAAAAACTCACTTTGTTAGCTACAAAAAACGACTTCCATAAACAGCTACTTGTAAATAAGCATAAAAATTAAATATACTATAAATTTTATTAGTGATAAAATTACATAATGTACTCAGGATATCTTTGCTTTCAAATAGCTTACGTCATTAGCAAATATGTTTAGTGTGCATGAAAACGACCTGCAATCCTCGGATTTAGGTCTCAAAAAAACATACGTGAGCTTCGGGAGACTCTCGATTTACTCGGCTCATAAGACAAGAATTGTGGAGAGATGTGGGTAACCTATATATCTTCGCATATGACGAGAAATTTGTATCATGCCACATGCAAACTAAGGATCTCTAGACGCTCGAAATTATCAAACTAGATAGCTACTAGGCGGCATGCCTAAAAAATGAAATGTGCCACTTTCGAGCGTGGCCTAAATCGATTTTGCCTCGGACCCCCATTTCTACCTACTTACTGAATGAATCAATTCAGCAAGCTGAATCATTCAGCAGAATCAGATCGATGGATAGCAATATTCATAAACATTAATTGTGATTTGGTAAATATTCCAATACATTTAATAGGTAAAGTGGAAAGATGATTTATTGTTATTAATATTATGTATATATTATTTATAAAAAAACTTTCTAAAAATGTTGTTTGACACAAATATTTGTTTTATGCTGTGCATTTCCAAAAAATTTGAGAAATGGATGCAGATATAAATACATTATACAGCTCATTAGATGAATCATTCGGCATGATAATGTCACTAGTGCCAGTAACTGAATTTGGATATGATGAACTAGTCAGTTATCAAAAACACATTAGTACTATATTTAATGAATTAATTGATTCATTAGAATTAATGGATGACTGTATCAATTGCAAAGAATTAATGGGAAAAAATTATTCTAGTTTTTTTTATGAATCAATAAATGAAATAAAAAAATCTAGATCATCAATAACTAAGTGGTGGTCAGATCCAGGTAAAGCCTATGAATTAAGTAGAGTATTTATTAGTATTGATGAAAAAGTTTTATTATGTGATGGTTGTAAAGAAAAAAAAATTGAAAGATTAACTGATAAATGTGGAAATAAAGAAATAACAAGATTTTTTTATGAATGTAAACAAGATCCACAATATTCTAAAAATATATTTTGGATTCCATATAATGAATTTAATAATATTGAATACTTGGCTAAAGGTGGTTTCGGAGAAGTTTATAAAGCAACATGGTTTAGCAATATTTTTTTTAGACCAATGGATGTTGTATTAAAAAGATTATATAATTCTAATAATAATATTTCAGATATTTTAAAAGAGGTAAAATTTTTAATATTATTAAATATATTTTATAATAATTTTTTTTAGTTAAAAGCACATGATGAACTTAAATTGTGGGTTAGCCATTGTTATGGAATTACTAAAGATCCTAAAGAGAATGATTATCTGTTGGTATTTCTCTATGCTAGGTATGGTGATTTGCATAATCATTTATCAAAACATAAACATTTCAAAGAATTTAATTGGTTTAAGAAATGTTATTCACTAGCTAATATTACAAGGGGGTAAGTTTTTAAATTTTATTATTAGACTTCATTGTTTATATATAATAAAATATTTTTTTTTTTGTTACCAATATGAATTAGATTATGGGATATTCATGAAAAAAATTACATTCATCATGACCTTCACAGTGGCAATATTTTTTCATACAGTCTTGGTAATGACAGGATAGGAGATTTAGGATTATGTCAACAAATGATGAATGAAAAAAATAAACCAAATAAAATTTTTGGGTTATTCCATACCTAGCACCTGAAGTATTGTCAAGAAAACCATATACAAAAGAATCAGACATTTACAGTATTGGTATGATAATGATTGATTTTAATTTTCAATATTACCTTCATTTAAAATCCAAAAATTGGCTTGTGTATGGCTCAATTATAATAAAAAAAATAGATGGGTTGTGACCTTCTTAATAAATTTATATGTAAGCCTGACTTGGCTTGTTGGAAATTTTACTTTCAAAATTTTGGTACAAGATTGTTAAATGAAGTAACAGACAGAATTGGATTCCAAGATAAATCTTTTTTATTTTTTATTTTATAATGTCTTGTACCTTAGATTCATAATAATAATAATAATAATCAGTATCAAAGTTACCACATAATAAATAAATAATAAATGTTTTAAATATGTTAGAAATTGTGGAAAAGTTGCCATTTTTAAAAATGCAAGAAATTTACTGCCAATCAGGGTTGGCTGCATAACTCAAATAAGCACTTGGCTAAACTGACTAAACTATTTAGTCATATATTTAGTCAAGATGATTGTTACTAAATTAGGCTTTTAACCCCTTTACACTGCCAGCCCTGAGCCCTTTTTGTTGTTTAATCATTTCCATAAAAATAAATTCCAAGTCATGTGCCCACTAATTTATCATTGGTCCAAAACAATTAAATTCAATAAGAAATGGCAACCTTCGAAAGAATTGAACAAGTGTTAGAAAAGGCAGAAAGAAAACTCGAGGCGGCAGAAGCAGAATTGAAAAAGTTCGAAGAAGGAGAAAGTAACAATGGAAAGTGGTTGAATGAGTTGAGGGATAAGATGAAAAGTTGCAACCTTAGTGAAGTGGAAAAGGCAAAGAAGATGAGGCTGGAGGAAAAAGAGAAGTTGTATAAAATTGTAGACGATTGGAGAGAGCAAGTAATATACTTGCAAAAAAAATTAAGTGGAGAAAAAGGTAATGAACAAATTGCATAAAAAAATATACAAAAAATTATTTTTCATTCATTCCATTTCGTTTATTTATTTATTCATTTGAGTGACATACATATTACTGTTTTGTCTTTGTTTCTTTTTTTTTTTTTTGCACTATCAATGACATATTGAAATATACAAAAAATTCATTCTATTTATCAGGGAAGCAAACAATTAAGGAAGCTTTTCCAGATGGTTTACCAATAGGAGAGCCACCTCAGTTGCTCACTTCATCTGGTGCTAGCTGGGATTTCCAATTGAATGATGATTTACGAACAATTCTTGCAAGAGAAGTTCCTGACCATTACGAACATTACTGTGAAAATCAATGGGACAAAGTTCATATGCCAACCTATTTATTTCTAGCTGGAGCTGGTAGTGGCAAATCGCGAAACGCGAATGAGTTTCATACATCTGTTTTGAATTCATTATCACAAGAACATACAGAACTAAGAACAAAGATAGCTAATGCTTGGATTTTTTGTGTCAGCCTTGAAAATGGTTGGTCATTGATAACTGGTGAGAAAGGATCCACTGCTATTGGTACTAGGATGCTTTGTCAATGTCTGGCTCAAAGTTTGGAAGCTATAATTACCAATTATGAGGCACCCTATCCATATGATGTTTTTGAATTAGTTGCTAAACATTATAAGAAAAAATTAGAAGACTGCACTATTTTTCTGGTAGTGGATGGCTTACACCAATTAATGTCTGAACAAGCAAATGGAACAGACAAAAACAGTGATTTTTACCGGACACTAACAAATATAGGGGATCTTGCAATGAGAGGAGTTTTCTGTCTTCCATGCATCACAGCAACCGTTTTTACTCCCATTACTTCCTTTCTGGCTAGCTCACATCAAAAATGTCTTGATCTGACCTCCACAAATTCAGTCAAGGGCAGTATTTTCTGAAGATGACACTCTTGTAAAAATTCTCATTAGTGATTGTGGTGGCAATGCTAGAGCAATGGAAGCACTTAAAGATACAATTGGTGATTCAAATATCACAAATATGAATCCTAGTTTCTGTGATGCAATTTAATCCTTGCTGACAGATACAAAGAAATGCTTGGTAATCTTAGTTCTGATGTGGCTCAGGATATTGCAAGAGTAATTCTCACTCATAAGAAGCTGCGACATGATCAATATATTTCAAATATTGTAAGGAAGACTCCTGAACAGTTGGTACAGCCTGGCTTGATCCAGTTCCATAAAATTGGTGAACTGGGAGAAAGATACCTTTCTGCACCATACATCTGGATTTGGATTCTGTCAGAACAAAGGTCAGATGAAAAAAGTGATTATATCCTTCAACATTGGAGATTCGATGACTATATTGAACAAAGGTCCAAATTACAGGTAGGTCCAGAAACACCTCCTGGTGCTCAATTCTGGCAGAATTTTGAAGACTTTGTTGCTAGATTTCGTTGCATTAAATCCCGGATTTTTAATGAAGGTGAGCATGTAAACATTAGTGAAATGCATACAAGGGCTGTATTGAATGTTGAGTTTCGATTTGTGAATTATCATCTTGGATTCCGCACTGCAACTAAGCAGATTGATACCCATTCAACATCAGACAACATGAAGGAATGGTTTATCACATGTACTCATGATATTGTTAATGCTCGAGATTGTCAAAAGTTTATCCTCAATTGTGCTTCAGCACCTGCTGGAGATGGCTTTGTTTGTCTGGCCTGTCCAGGACATACTCTAAATGAAGTACACCAATACAAGCATCTGCAAAAGAGCAATTTCACTCTAGATAGCTGTCAGGATGAATGTTATAAAGCTGCATCAACTGACAATTTTTTCCTTGCTTTTACAACTCAAAAAAATTGTAATTGGGATGATAATCTTCCACCAAACTCAGGTATTATACATGGTCAGAATTGGGGAAAATATTTTGGGCCATTTGCTGCTCGAGCCTTTATATTTTCACAGGATAGTCCACCAGATATTAACAGTGCAACATACTTGCACCTACAGTTGATTGAGGGAATAGGTATGGAGTGTGCTGAAAAAATTATTAGTAAAAGACCATTCAACAGTTTGGAAGAAGCAATAGAAAGGACAGGCATTGATGGGAAAATGTTGAAGAGATTTAAATTCTCATCTCAGTAGTTATGATTCCAACAGATGTTAGATAGCAAATAGAAGGACTTTTATAAATGACAAAATATAAGTCATGCTTAATGCATACAATAATTCATTGTCAAAATCCATAACACATAATGTAAATACATAGGCAACCCCTTAAACCAAAGGCAATTGTGCAGGAACTTTTCTTCAGATTAACTGGGTTTTTTATAATCCAAAGTTATTATTAGAGTCATAAATTAATTCGGATAAGCGGGGTAATAAATCTAAAAATTTAGGATTTAGAATTTCCTTTATCCATTTTCTGGCAGTGAATTGATTTGGATTCAATGATAAAAAATAATTGCTCTTTTTTAGAATTTCAGAAACAGTAGATTTACTGACATTATATTTAGGTGCAATCTGGTTATTTTTTTATGTTTGGTCTTTATTTTTTTCAATGCATATTTATATTTTTTTGTGAGATTGTTATAGGCATATGTTTCCTTTTTGATACCCCAACTTCTTTTCAGTAGTTTTTTTTTTCCTCTTGTTTGCACTAGAGGAAAGTCTATCCTGGTTATTAATTTTTGTACATGTGCATGAAAATGAAATTTGTGAATTTGCACATATTCAAATTAGCCAATCAGAATTTCATATCCAAATGCTCCACCCCAAAATTTTAATTATATAACTTGTATATTATTATTATTGGTCCAATTTTTATTTCATTTCGGTTTATAAAAATTCGGATTAACAGGGCAATTTTACATATAAATGGCTTCAAAAAATTTAAAAATTTCTTCGGTTTATGGTTTATAAAGTTTTATCAGTGACATTCATATTAACGGGATAATTTACATATGTTTGGTTTTGGTGTTTTAAAAATTATTCATTTTAACGGGGGTTCGGATTAATGGGGTTGCCTATGTAATAGGAACATCTGAAAGAACAATTAAAATACTAATAAAGATAAGGAAGAAAACAAAAGAACCAAAAGGGTAAAATTTAGTAACAATGTTGACATTACAGTCAACCCCCAAGTGCACCTCCTTGGAAATGAGTGGGTGGTGCATTTAGGGAATTAAAGCATTTTATTGGCTGCACATATTAGTGACTCATGTGACACTAATTAAAATTTTTAAATTACAAAAAAAAATTTGACATTGTATTTATTTTTTTAAGTTAATATATTTTTCAAGAGAATTAACTGATTTTGTTTGTTCATTGCATGGACAGTTTCCAAGCTTTCTAATTATGGTAGAAATAGGTTGATAAGAATGTTAGCCAAATGGTTTTTGAAAAAATCAATTTTGGTAAGCAATTTTGGATTTACCCAGCTTTTTGGTATTTAGTTAAAAAGTCCAGATATAATTTTGGCAACTAATAAAATTAATTTGGCATCCATGAAAACTATTTCACAATTTCAGATTCAGTGATGATCATTTTTTAAGAGCAACTTTGGCCAACATGCTTACACTTGACTTCAATTGGGTGACTTTTTGATGCAATTAATTGAGCCATATGAAAAACATATAGGTAATTGAGTCAAAACACAATTGAAAATTGAGATTTTGGGAGTTAAGTCAAAGCCAAATTAATTTTGACAACATGTAAATTTTCTAAGGTTACTTGATTAACAATGCATAAAATCACGTGAAAGTCACAGGCGTGCATTTAGGGAGGGTGGTTTTATATAGTTGGGAATGAAAAAAGACTGTGCAGTGCAGGTATAGAGGGATGCACTTATCTCTTAAGTCCCAAGCTTAGGAATGAGTGAAAGCATGCATTTAGGGGGTTGACTGTAAAGAAATAGTTACCAAAAATTCTATAAATGTTGACAAATATGTAACAGCTTCAAATAAAAACTACAACAATCACAAGAAGTATTAATGAAAGAAAAAGAATTGGAAAAGGTAGAGGAAAAACCAGAAAAAATAGTTTACCCACAGATTTTTTTGATGATCCTACTATGAATAAAAATAACAACAACAATAATAGTATTGGGAGCAATAAAGTTAATAATAGTTTAAAAGTATCAATATCAACAACACAGGAGAAGTCATCTAATCAAGTTGATGAACAAGAATGGGTTAAATTTCAAAACTTATAAGCAAAGAGACTCAATTAAGTCATCAAATAGCTGGTGTAGATGATGAATTACAGAAAGATGGAGATGAGAAAGAGAACAAGAAGGTTTTATTAAAAGACTAGAGCAATTAAAAGAATTTGCTAATAAAGTTTGTAAATCCTGTGAAAGTAAAATGATGATTGCTACAAAATCAAAATGTTGACAAGGATGTGGACAAGGGCAAAGATGATAAGGATGAAATATATGAGAATGAATGGATGAATTGGAGAGCACAAAAAGCTTTATAAATAGAAATACGGATTAAATTTATAAATTTGTCAAAAGCTATTTTATTAATAAAAAAAATCAGATTCTGTGATGAATCATTATTATTTTTTCAAAATTAATATAAATTTAATATTTAATATACATAACTCACCTATTAAAATTAGTTAAAAACCAATAATATAGTAATCATCAACTTTACATTCATAAATAAATAATATTTTTGTCAAGTTCAATTTTAATATCAGTCTCGTTTAAAGAATTGAAAATCTTTTTTGATTTGTCATCATCATCTTTCCTTTTCATTATCCATATTTTTGGTTTCAAAACTATTTCTATAGGAAAGACCAATTCAAACATTTCTTTAAACTGATAATAATTGTTTTTGTTATAGCTAACAAGTAGATTAAACAAATCAATCCACATCAGAGTAAATTCATTTGTTTTTTTGATTCTCAAAAATTGATATCCATCAACCATGTCAATGATGGTAAAACTACCTTCATGAAATTTAGGTTTAGAAGTTAATAAATGTGTATATGATTTATAATCTTCTGGTGATGAATGTGATTCATCTTTTGAGTAATGCCAGTCATTTCTCAATTCACCAAATCTGGATACACCTGTCATTGCTGAATCAACATCTATATGTATTCTAGCTATAAATATAATATAAATATAAGTTATATCTATTTTAAAAAAAATTAAATTAGAATTAAATTATAAAAAATTTCTTACCATCAAGAAAATCATTTTCAATAATGTGCAAGTTTTGTAAAGCCACTCCACCAGGATAATTATAACTTGAAATAATAGCCATCAACAAACTTATGAAAAGAAGGCTTAAAAAAAGAAGCCCCATAATTGACTTTAACAAATTATGAACTAATCTTGATACATGTTGTTCGCTTTATTATTATTATAAATTTAATAATAATATAAGTATTAATGGTTAAGTAATTAAATATACATATAAAAATTAAATTTACATACATCCATACAATTCCAAGTGCTGAGCACATGTTAAATATTGGTACTACATAAACAATAAATCGCCATTCTTTATGTCCAAGAAATGAGAATAAAAACACAAAAATTATCATTGGTAAGAAAAATTCATGAGTACGTTGATCCACAAATATTGAAAGTATACTTAACGGTAAAGATAATAGTAGAAGACGTGGGAGAAATGATGTGAAATAGATGTGAAAAGGTGAAACCTTTTGATAAATTTTTGGTAGAAAAAAATATATATTAAATATATATAAATATATTGGCTTTTGTAAGAAACTATACTTACTCCCCAGTCCACACTTTTGCCCAATATTACATTGAAATGGAATGCAAAAAATTCTGGCCACATAAATGTTTGCCAAAAGTATGAATCAATAATTAAGGTTAATGCTGTATTTGAATGTTTAAAAAAACATATATATATATATATATATTTGTTAATATACTTATGAATAGGTAGTAATAACTAAATATTGGTTATCTACCTAAATAAATAGGAATGGCAATAGTTAGCTGATCAAGTAACTCATAGAAATTCAAATTTCTAAGTGATAATTCCAAGATTAAGATCAAAGAAAGTAACATCAAAACCTCAAAACGAAATATTACTGCTGTAAAAATTAAATAATGGATCATTGAAGACATGTGTTTTTTCATTTTTGAAGTTTCAGAAGGTGATGATGGTGATGATGATGAATTTGTAGCCATCACCCAATGAGAAAATGCCTTAATAACTATATATATATGAATTTTCTTAGGTATAAATGATTCATCATAAAAAATAAAATAAAAGATTTCTTCTTTAGTTACCTAATGGATATGCAAACATGTTTGGTAATGTTCTACTTGCCCAAAATATAGTGTGAAACTGACAACCACTTATAACACCAAATAAAATAGCAACTCTTTGACCAAATGATTTTTTGATTGATGTTCGAAGACAAGAAAGTGTGTATACATTAAATAAACCAAAAACAATTCGAACTATATTTTTTTTTTTTATAAGCAAAGATGATTTATTTATTTATTCAATTATTATTAATTTAGAATTTATTCTACATAATCAAAATTGACCTACCTTATTATTTTAAGTTTAAAAAGATAACTTACCAACATATTGGGAATAAAATTTAATCCAAGTAGGAATTAAAATTTTCATAATATGTATAATAGGCCAACTTATTCCACTTAATATTAAAGAGCCTATAAAAGTTCTAGGAACAACTCCAGGAAATTCAAAATGATCATACTTTTTTTTAAAAAAATGTATATAAGCTTGAATGTATAAAATAAAAAATGTTTATTATTTTATGAAACCTCATACATTTTCTAAACCTTCAATATCAACTCCATATTCCAAGATGTCATGTATTGCTTGAATATTAAAACTTTCTTCAACCTTTGTAAAAGGACATAATATCACATAAAATGTTACTATGCAAATAAGAAAAAAATCCAACTTGTCCATAATTTTATTTTATTTTGAAAGGGAATCAAAAAATTTATAAATATGGCTGGTGTTACATGAATTTAATAAATGATTCTATACAGTCAAACCCTCGTTTCAACGGATTTTTAGTTTACCCCTTGATTTTATTAGTAATATTAATTAAAAAATTCTCGTTTCAACGGATTTTATATTTAAATCGCGTTTCAACGGACAACGGATTTTTTGGTAGGATTTTAGTAATAGTAATAAGTACTAATCACGTTACAACGGATTCACGTGATATAGATTTTATAAAAAAAACCGACATTACTATGTTAAGATTAATTCATTGCTAAATAATAATATATATAAACTCAAAAATATCAATATGATTTTACATGAATAATTCTCACATTGCTAAATAATAATATTAATCAAAAATTTTCCATATTTCTAAATAATAATTTTACATGAATAATTAAACACACATTGCTAAATAATAATATTAATCAAAATGCGTAACCAAAATAAAAAATAAAATAATAATAAATACGACGAATGACTAGACATTATAACTCAAATTCTAAAAAACAAGCAAAAAAAAAAGCAAATTTTCATGAGAAAGAATCTAATGTAGATGTTAATAAAGCTTCTAATTCAAATATGATGGAGATAGATGCAAATGCAACAAATGCACTTCAAACATTTGCAACATCAACAAATGCATCTATTATTAATACAAAAGAACCAATTTCACCTCATTCTATTGAAGACTCATCAAACACATTTAATGATAATGGAAATTCAGGTTCAAATGTGGAGGACAACAAGATGACACAAGAGTGGGTAGTTGTCAATAAATACACAAATTTTTGAGCAGCAATTTTAATCGATCAAATACCAAGTAAAAATAATATTAATAAAAAAAAATTTGTTGAAAAATTTTTGATCAATTATAAAGGGTTTGTGGGTCTCTACATTACCAGATTTGGCAAACAAAGGAAATTTGTTGCTAACTTTGATAATGAAGAGGATCTTAATAACCTTGTTGTCACAGACTTACCTGATTATGAAGGTATCCGTTTCTCTAAAGAACTTGCACCAGTTGGAAACATTAATAAAGAAAATTCAATAAGAGTTAAGAATATTCCACTTAATACAAGTTCAACTTTAGTACATGCTACTTTTGAAAAATATGGAAAAATTATTAAATTCTCTATGCAAACCAAAGACTTATGGCAAGAAGCCATAATTTATTTTGAAAAAAAGGAAGATATTTTACCATTTCATAATGAAACATGGGCAGTCTTTATTCTAAAAGATATGGTTAGAGTAGAACCATTAAGCATGAATGAAAAACAATATGAAAAAAGACATTTACATGCCCTCAAACTTGGTCACCTCCCTTTTGGAACTACAGCAAGAGATCTTGTTGAAATAATCAATGCAACAAAAGCAAAGGCAATTTTCATACCTAAAACACGCAAATCATATGTCAACTGTAGATATGGATGGTTTTTCTTTGATTCTGATGAAGCAGCACATGATGCACAAATTAATTGGTATACTCTCAATAATACTGAATTATTTTGGGCATCAGAAGATACTGCACTCTGTAGAAAATGTGGACATCCTGATCACACTATTACAGGTTGTCAGGAAATTCAATGGGCAAAACAAAAAAAATCAATATATCCAAATTGCAACCTTTGTACAACAAATATAAACCTGCTCAACATCGTAAACCACAAACACACCCACCTGCAAATAAATCAAAAGAATTATCATTTGCAGACATTGTAAAAAACAGTATTAGGACATCTCTTGATGATTCCATTCATGCTGAAAAAATAGGTAACAAAACAGAAGATGTTTTAAAAAAACTTATGGAAAAAGTTGAAGATATATCAACCAAACTGAATCATCTTACTCAGAATATTCAGGAAATCAATATCAGAATTAAAGTACTTGAGGATAAAGACAGTACTAAACCTAAACAAGGAAATACAGATCCTTATATAACTGTATGCACTCCCATCTTGAAAAAACCCACATACAAACCTGGAATTTCTAATTCTCACAAGAGATCTAGAGAATCATTTACATCTTCATCTGAAGAAAGCCAAGCTTCAACAACCAAAATTAACAAAAACACTGATGAAAGTCAATTAATTGTTAAACAACAGGAAGAACTAAATAAAAATGCAAAAAATCTTTCTCAAGACATGGCTGACATCAAAAATATGATTGGCAATATTTCATCCAAATTCATTAATAAATCTAATAATGATGAGGATGATGTAAGTTTTTAAACAATTGGTTATACCATCTCGTAAATCTAAAATAATTTAATAATGAATATAAACAACAAAAACAATAATCAATTTAATATTAATAATGATAATAACGAAAATTCAATGAATAATATTTCAAATCCACATACAAATAATATTCCTATATTTACATCACAACTTATTCGAATTGGAACACAAAACATCCGAGGAATAAATGACTCACATCTACAAACTATAGTCAAAACACTATGCAAAGATAACCAAATGGACATAATTGGTATATCTGAAACCAAACTCAACCGTAACAACTCTAAACATTGTATGAGAAAATGTAATACATTTCAATCTTTTTGGAGCTCACACCCTGACCAGCCTAACTCAGCTGGTGTAGGTCTTCTTATTTCAAAATCATTAGCTAGACATATAGTAAAAATTGAAAAATATCAAGGACGCATAATATATGCTGACTTATATTTTAAAGGAAAGAAAAAATTACGAATTATTCAGGTTTATATCAATTCTAATACCAACAAAAAACAAGAAAGAATTACAACTTCAAAACAAGTAATTAAATATTGTCAAGAGGCATTAAACAAAAATTTTTTTACAATTGTAATGGGTGACTTCAATGCAGACCCTGAAATTCTTCATAATTTGCAGATTAATAATCATACTATACCTTACATATATAATCTGATTTCAACATTACAAACTTTAAATTTTATAGACAGTCTTAAAATCACAAATCCAAACTCACCTCAATACACATGGTCTAATAATAACTCAAAATCACGTATAGATCAAATTTGGATTTCACATAATTTTGCTCATGATCTTGCTCGCACAAAAACTGTTGATTATACATCAATTTTTTCAACAGACCATAAATTAATATGGTGTGATTTAATAACTTCTAATTTCTACAAACATCGTTCCAATAATAATGAATGTAAATTAGACAACAAAAAGAAAATTTATAAATTTGAGAAAATGACAAATGAAAAATGGCAAAATTTTGCATCACTTACTGATAAGAATTTAGAAAGACATTGGGATTATAACCAGTGTATAAATAATTTTCAACCTACATGTTCTTGGTTAAATAGATCATGGACCATACTTCAGCAAATAATTATCCAAACTGCTGACAAAGAAATACCATTTGATAAAATTAGCAGGAAAGATAGTAATAAAAGATCCAAAGATACTTTGATATTACATAAATCCTTAAATCATTTGGTCATTTACTTCAACAATTTCTTCAAATCAAAAATCTTGTAAATATAAATCAGTGCAATACCATGTGGAATGATATAAAAAAGAACATTACCAAGATTACTCAAAACCTTGAAATACCTTTAGAAAACCTACCTGATACTTTATATGATAATGTATATGAACAAACATATAAATATTTAATATCTATCTTCAACACCATTAAATCACAGAAGAAAATAGAAGACAAGATTGAAATTGAAAAGCAAATTAAATTTTTCACAAAAAAAAGATGTGAATATTATACATCAAATCAAAAAGTCATGATTAACAGTATTTTAGAACGTGAAAAACAATCTATTAGAATTAATCGTTGCGTAATTAACAAAGATGGTGAAGATGAAATTCTCCTCTTACCTGATGATGTTAAAAAAGCAACTAAAAATCATTTTAGCAGTATTTCAAATAATAATCATACTACACCTAATACATTACCATCTCCATGGTTTAATCAATATAAATCAATCAAACAAATTGATCCCATATGGTATTCAAATTTAATGAACCCTTTAACATTAGTTGAATGGTATTCTATTATAAATACACTCCCAAATGGAAAAGCAAGTGGGCCTTCAGGCATTACAAATGAAATGCTCAAGCACATAGGAAAAACAACTCAACAATTTCTTCTGAAAATAATAAATCAATGTATTACCATCAATGACATACCAGATGCATGGAGAGAGGCAACTGTTTATCCAATACCAAAACCACTGGATTGGGAATTACAATTGAATAATACACGACCAATTACATTACTGGAGACACCAAGAAAAGCATTAGTGAAAATTATAAATAATAGAATATCAGAAATAGTAATGAAGCATAATATTTTAAAAGGATGTAACTTTGCAGGACTTCCTGGAAAATCCACACATGAGCCAATACATATTCTCAATATGTTGATGGAAGATGCTCGTGAGAACAATAAAGAAATGTGGGTTTTATTTCAAGATATGAGCAAAGCATATGATCTGGTTAATAGAGATATGTTACAACTTGCTCTTAAAAGAATTGCACTACCTAATTCATTCTGCAAATTCATCCATAACATTTTTAACAAAAGAGTAAATAGAGTTGTTACAGAATTTGGACTCACTGATCAATACACTATCAACAATGGCATTGATCAAGGTGAAGTAATTTCACCTCTCATGTGGTGTATATACTATGATCCTTTACTCTGCGAGATTCAAAATCAAAAATCACTTGGATATCAAATAGAAGTTGAATGGAAACAAGACCTTCGATATAATGAAACCACCAAACTTTCTGAAACAATATCAAGTCTTGCATATATGGATGACACAACTTGGTTTGCACCATCCAAAGATAATATGGAACTAATTCTAGAAATTGCAGATTCATTCTATGATCTAAATGGCATTAAAGTAAATAAAAAGAAATCAGAACTTTTAGTTATAAATTCACCTACACCAATTCCTTCAACTTCCATTATTTTTGGAAAAGATTGTACAGAGGTTTTTGCAAAGCCAATCAACACATCTATTAGATTTCTAGGTGTATGGGTTAATGCAAAAGGGTCAACTAGACATGTTAAAAATTCTGTGCATGATGAAATTATCAATATGGAATCAATTATGAAACATAAACATCTTACTGATAAACAAATCTTATATATTTTCAATCGTGTAATGATTCCTAGATTAGAATATCGTCTACAACTTACATTGCTGTCTGAAAATGAATGTAAAATTTTAGGAGCAAAATGTAGAAAATTATTCAAACAAAAGGTTGGCCTTGCATCTACTGTTACTAATGCAGTTACTAATACACATACAATATATAATCTTTGTGATTTATGGGATTGTCAAGTACAACATCACATAACCAACCTGTGTGTTCGCCTAAATGACAATGGAATTATGGGTAAAATTTCTAAAATCAAATTACATCAATTACAACTCAATTTGTGTTTGCCTAAAAGTCCATTGGAGTCTTGGAATTATTCAGTTTCTCATCTTCATTTATTTAAAAATAATCTTATGGCTGGCATCTTATGCATAGCAAAATTTTTCAAATTCTCACTTAGAACAACATATGATTTTGAGTCTTTCATAATTAAAGGTGGACAAATTTTACTACAAGATATTTTTGCTGAAAATATACATCATTTGTAAATGCACTGGCTAAAAAACAAGTATTATATCTTGATCAAATCCTCTGTTGTGAAGGTACACATTTACTTTCTTGGAAACAAGCAGTCTTACGTTTAAAAATTAATATATGTGGTCGAAAACCAAAATGGTTTTCATCATTAGAAGAATCTATCCTACATCACTCATCTCATGAAGTTCTAGATCAATGGAAACTACCTAGATGCAACTCATTCCCTATACAATATTCACTTAATTTTCCAAAAGACTCTAGAATCAGGCCTTTCATTGCAACCTACCAATTTGAAGAAATAACTTTTGGTAAGACATATGAACTAGCTTCACCAAAAAACAACAATCAACTTATCATCACTCATTGGAAATCAAATACCAACATATTAGAAAACAATCATGATAGTTTTCAACTAAGTCAATGTAAAGGATGTGAACTAAACAACCTTATAAATAATCCAAATAGAATTGGTTGTTTATACAATAAACCACAGAAAGAATGTATTGTCATACCAGCCAAGAAATGTATTTCTTCTGGATCCAATATCATCACCATAACATTTCCTAGATGCGAAATCATAAAGGCTTTAGAATACAACTTTGATAAATTCAATAATAATAATATTATTATTATTCCAATATGTCCAACAATATATATTGAAGATAACAGACTAACACAACAATCAACTTATCATCACTCATTGGAAATCAAATACCAACATATTAGAAAACAATCATGATAGTTTTCAACTAAGTCAATGTAAAGGATGTGAACTAAACAACCTTATAAATAATCCAAATAGAATTGGTTGTTTATACAATAAACCACAGAAAGAATGTATTGTCATACCAGCCAAGAAATGTATTTCTTCTGGATCCAATATCATCACCATAACATTTCCTAGATGCGAAATCATAAAGGCTTTAGAATACAACTTTGATAAATTCAATAATAATAATATTATTATTATTCCAATATGTCCAACAATATATATTGAAGATAACAGACTAACATGGATAAAGAATATTATAAATGAACCAATATCATTACAATTATTCAATATTCACATGATAAATAATTGCATTAATCAATTAGAATTTTGGACTGATGGATCCCTAAAAAATCCTAGCTCTCCTGATATTAAATTAGGTTATGGTTGGATCCAAGTTGATAAGAATAAAAAAATTACTAACTCTTTTTCAGGTGCGCTGTCACAATGGCCATCATCAACATGTGCAGAAATCTTTTCTCTACTTACAGCAATTCTAACATGTCCAGCAAATAGTATTATAAATATATACTTAGATTCACAAGCTACTATTGATGGTTTTAACAATTGGAAACAAAAATCAAAAACCATTAGATCCTACCTTAAAATTAATAATTTTTCTTTATGGGAAATCATTTATTCAACAATGGAAAAATATAATTTAATAGTAAATTTAACAAAAGTTAAAGCTCACTCCAATAAATATCCTCTCAATGACACAGCTGACTCACTAGCCAAATTGGGAAGTAGCAATAATCAAATCACAAAAATAAATATCAATAACATAACTAAAAAATATGTTACATTATATTGGAAGGAGTTTCTAATAGATTACCATTGTAGAAATTTCATCAAACAAATATGCAAAGCAAAGCGATTAAATTCTTGGATATCTCTAAATCGGTTTCAACCATTTTTCACTGAGGAAGAAATACAAAAAATAGAGTGGAGGTGCACATGGTTATCTTTAAGAACCAGTTTCCCTTCCTCTACATCTTTCAAAGACAGTAGATGGAAAGCCTTCAAAATCAAACTATTACATAATGAACTACCAGTATTAGAAATTTTAAAGAAACGTAGATCTGATTTATATGGGAATTTTACAAATTGTCCTAGGTGTAATTTAGCTCCAGAAGATTATGATCATTTATGGTACTGCAAGAATTCAAAAGATGCAGTTAAAACAATTAACAAAAAAATAATTGAATTCATTCAATCACTTTTGGATAATAACCATAACCATAACAATAATAATATCAATCATATAGATAGACAAACAATAATGTGTGAAATATTTCCTTATTTCAACAACCCTACATCTTGTATACTTTTTATGAAAAATTTCACAAGAGGCTTAATTTCAAGAAGCATAATACATAGTTTTACATGTATCATAAACTCAAAATCCAAGGGGAGGAAAGCAGCTCTGGATTTGTTAAATATAGTCCAGGAAGCTTTCTTTGAAAAAATTTGGAAGCCTAGGTGTGAGGAAATCATTGAATGGGAACATTCAATTGGGATAACAGTTAAAAAAAAGAAAAATTACACAGAAAAATGTTCTCAAGCCACTTCATCCAATTCTCAGAATGCTATACATTTTGACAAATGGGAAGAGTGGTGTCAGAATTTCATAATTTTTGGTGCTAAGTGGGAAAATTTTTGCCTTTAGCATGCTATCTTTTGCAGAATTTTTTAGATAAATTTATTCAAATATGTCTAATTAATTTTTTTTTAAAGGTGGCAGGTTAGCTTTAAATTAACAATAGGTTAATTGGGGTAGGATTACGTGTAAAAATTTGTAAATTTTTAATAATGCATTAAATTTTAAATAAATAAACGTGATTTCAAGGCCTCACTTTAGCAAAAAAAAA